TTTCATAATTTTTTCCCGGTTAAATTGCATTCGGTGGCACTGTGCATAAAATTATCACTCAACTGTCCATGAGATTTCTTTTTTTTTCCTAACAGTGTACCACTGAGAACGGAGCCATTGATAATAATAAATAAATAAAATAATAAATGATAATAATTAATGATAACAATTTCAGTCTATTAAAAAGTTTTCCGATCGAATCCTTAGAAAATGACCCAAAAATGACCGAAATAATATAGACAGTCAATTTGCAACTATATAGACGATCTTTGGCCATTTTGGCTCGTGTCTGACGCAGCTTAACTGCGACGGTCATTGTGCATAAAAAAAATTGGTCAAACTCAGAAAACGGTCAGAAACCGGTCCTTTACGTCTGACCTGAACGAAAGGGAAAATTACGGTCACTTTACATCTCTACACTGTTAGAAAGTTTATAAAATTTCATGGAAAATATGATAGTAATTCTCATGAGAATGACATTCAATCGGATTTAGGGGAAAAATGATTGTAAAATTTCAAGTTTTAGGTAGAATTCAAAAAAATTCATGAATTTTCAGTGGGAATAAGATGGAAATTTTACAACTCCATTGAATTTTCAATGGAACATGAATATTCAGAAACAAAATTACATGAACTTTCAATTTTTCCCCGAACTTTCCTGATTTCTCTGAATTTTCACGGAATAATTTAACTGAAAAATCGACTATTTTATTGATTTTCAGATCATTTAAACCGAAAATGGATGGAATATTTGATTTTCCAATGTCAATATTTCCTGAAATTTCAGTGGAAGTTAAACACGATAAAAATTTTCGGGATTTGGCACGGAAAATTCAGACGAAAATTTTTATCAGTGTAGTAGACTATTGTGTTCGATATTTGATTCACAAACAGCTGAGAGATATCAGATTTTTGCGCAATGAGAAGCAATGATAGTTTACAACTGTAATAGATTCAAGCGAATTGCTGACTAGTGAGCAAAGGGAATTGTCGCTTTGGACAAGGTGAGGTGTGCATTGCAGAGGGAACTCCCAGTTGGTCTATGTAGGCCTCGTTGAACGAGGAGACTGTTCTCACGAAACCTCTTGGTCCCAAGGGACTCGACCTCGCCAAATCAGCCGAAGGATGCAAATCAATCCCTGGATACGGTGCTCGAAATTGTTCAGTACTAAATACCATACCAAAGGCTTGAGTGTACTTGTCAAACTCCTCTTGCAGTCCCGCAGAGAAAACGGAATTGCCACGCAATGTCAGCAACAACCAATGATAAAGTCACTAGTCTGAGCAAGCATATAAACACAGTAGTGACTGTGGCAATGGGGTTGTATATCATCGTATCCGTATGTGTATCTACAGTGATGATAGCTCAACATTGAGCATCGCGTCAGGTGTATTATCCAATGATACACAGATATTTACGCCTTCCGTCATGAATCGTGACGGTGCCTCTTTGGGCTACTGATGAGGAGTCCAGTAACGAGGATTTAAATTGACCTTGAATAAATTACCTCAGAATGTTCACTAAATATGATCGAATACCCGTGGTGAGAGCCGTGGTTGGAGGAGTTTTTCAACTAAGTTGATGAATAAATGATCTTGCAATCCTAGTAACTCTCGATTTACAGTTGCAAAAGGTTGCTCTAAACTTCACCTCAAATTCCATCAAATTTTACTACTTTGACGAAGTTTGAGTGTTTGAACTATCTGGCGAAACACGAAATTTCTTGTGTCAGGTACTTTGAAAACTATTACGTGGAATTCTGGTGATACTGCGGAGTATGGAGATTAATTAATAAATTTTATGTCGTGCATATTTATTAAGGAAATAAGGAAATAAGAATGAATAATTTCAAAATTGGAAGAAATGCACATCACCACAATATCGCGGGAGATGGGCACTTGGTAAATTATGCGCGAATTGCAATGAATTTCAACAGATTGTTGGATAGGTGGATCGTTTTTTGTGGAATGCAATGATTATACAATTTCAATTTTCAGTAAAACGCGAGGGAGGAATAATGATGATCGAAGAAGAGAAATTTAATGCAGAATCAATTGCAAGAATTCTATCTTTCTCTGAGATAAAAAAATAAAAGTGTCACACTGTTGAAATTTTTCGGCTGAAATTTCCGGTTCACTTTGTGGAAATTTTCATCACAACATAGTACCGCTGAAATCTTAAGGAATTTCATTGAGAATTTCTCCTATCCAAATTTCAACCAATGGAATTGCACTATTCGCCTGTTATTCTATATAGTCAACACGGCATTCAACTGATAATTTTTGATAATTCCACTGATAATTTTTCATGTTGATATATATGTATATACAAATAACTTCCCTATCCCGGGAACATTTCCTGGTTAAATGAAACCCTCGTCGGAACTGACAGATGAATCTTGGTTCATAGTGCAATTCTCTTGGCCAAAATTTGGATGGAAAAATTCTTTTCCAAATACCACTGGAGCTTCAAAATTAATCAGGTATTTTCCTTAAGTTTCCCTACATACAATCGAACTCGTCAAGTTTTTTAGGCAAAATCACTCGTGCTTTACACTCGCGATTTTTTAACAGGAAAAACTTGACTCCTTCGTTTGCTACAACGCACCTATCGGAAAATACCTGATAATTTTGAAGCTCCCGTGGTGTACATACGAAAATTCAAAATTATGTGGAAAAATCAATGTAGCTATAAATTTAGGTAAATATGTTTTTTGAATTCTCAATGAATTGGAAATTCCGCGTAATTTGATACTGAATATTCATATTTTCATTAAAAATTCAAGTAAGTTAGAAAATTCTCGTCTTTTTATTGCTCAAAAATTTCGAATTTGAATTTTGAGGAAAAACTGAATTTTCATAAATTTTTGCCCTGAATCGAATTCAATGTCACTCTCCTGAAAGTTGTTAGTCAATTGTCCATGAAATTTCCATTTTGGTAAACAGTGTAATCTCCTCCCAAACCGAATTAAACCGTTCTCGAACTTTTTCCTCTACAAGTAATTCCCCGGAATTGATTCCCCCCACGACTTCCCATGAATGTCACGCATAGACGCATTACGAATATCAATTCAATTTATTAATCCTCTCAATCTCTCAAAACAAAACATTTTGGAACTCAACATATTCAAAGCAATTTCATCCCATAATTGGAGTCAATCTTTTGTTACTATAATTAATTTTTCTCTAATATATAACATAAAGTCAACACGCCATTCCCGCAAATTCCCGAAACAGTTCGTTTCGATACCAAGCAATTGCAGACTAATTTCAACCTATAATTGGAATCCGTCTCTTGTGGCTATAATTGATTAATCATCGATAAATTATATTCCTCCTGTAAATCATGCTCATCCCACCAAGTTATAACTCTATGATAGAATAAGATTGGAAATGTTCTTGAAAAAAAATATTTTTCTTTCTGGCGACAATAGTGCTCACATGGTTGGTGGGGGGCTCCGGCGGTCGCCCAAGATAAGCAGCGTTTAGTCTGGATAGTACTTGGATGGGTCCTCAAATTTACCCCCAGTTTTTCCAATCCCCACTACAATCCTTGTCGCCCACCTCTGACACTCAGGGCTACAATCTCCTCAGTCCGACAGTACTCGGGTGGAACTGCTGCCGCCAGGCGCGAGTGTGGAGAACTATGGTGCCCATCCAGTCAGTGTGACGGATGGGTACACACTGTTAGAATAGTACATTAGAGTACAAGGGCACAAATTTCGTTTTCAACGAACGTGTAGTTTACAGGCCGAGCCGAAGGCGAGATCTGTACACACATTCGTTGAAAACGAAATTTATTACCGAGTGCTCTATAATATTTTATGTCAAGTCGTGCAGAAGTCGAGTTTTGAGCAAGCTGCGCGAAGCGCAGCGTGCGATAAACTCGACTTATTGCACGGCGCGACATAAAAAAATGAAATGTCATGGACAGTTGACTGCTAATTTTCAGGATAGTGACACTGAATGCGATTTAAGGGAAAAAAATCATGAAATTTCAGGTTTCGCTGAAAATTCAGTAAAATTACAGAATTGTAAACAGGATAAAAACGAGAATTCCTTAATTTATTTGAATTTCCATTCTAATTGGAATGTGCGGTGCCGAATAACATTGAATTTTCGTATGTAATACCACAAGAGCTTCAAAATTATCAGGGATTACTCGATAGGTTCGTTGCAAACAAACGAAGGAGTCAACTTATCCAGGTTAAAAAATCACGACTGCGAAGCACGAGTTTTTCCTGAAAACTTGACAAGTTCGTTTGTATGCAGGGAACCTTGAGGGAAATACCTGATTAATTTTAAAACTCGAGTGGTATTCGGAAGAGAATTTTATCCAAATTTCGGCCACGAGAATTGCACTATGAGATAAAATCCATCTGTCTGTTCCAATGAGGGGCTCACTCGACCAAGAAATATTTTGTTTTTCATATATATATCAACATGAAAAATTACCAGTTGAATTATCAAAAATTATCTGTTGAATACCGTGTTAACTATATAAAATAACAATCGAATCGTGGAATTCTATTGGCTGAAATTTCGATGGGAAGAATTCTCAGTGAAATCTGAAATTTCATGATTTTTTCCCCCTAAATCGCATTCAGTGTCACTGTCCTGGAAATTCAAGAATAAATTTACCGGAATTTTCTGGTTTTCTATTCATTTTCAGGGAAAAATGGAACTGAAATCGACAATTCTCTTTGACCTTTCCACGAAATTCTGAATTTTCAATGACGAAATTCCTTGACGTTTTAGTGGTGATTAATAGCGCAGAGTCTATCTTGAAAGGAATCCCATAATTTTCAAGTTACAGGGTAGTAAAAAAATGTGAGAATCCACAGCGGAATCCACGAGAATTTGCTCTTCCTTCTGACACTGCGATATCTCTACTCAACGATTCGAAAAATCTCCCATTTACCTCTGTATGAATGAAAAAGTAAAATGTTGTTTCTACACATTATTTCTTTCACTACATCGACTCTTTATTTTCATTTCAGCTATGACCTGGAATCTGAAAAATTGTACTCAGTATCATGGTACAAAGACAACGAGGAATTTTACAAATACGTACCGAGCTCAGACAGAAGCCAACACAGCTATCAAGTGGAGGGGGTCGAAGTTGATGTAAGTTTTCAAAAATAGTCATGGAGCACCTATCGATATCTCCAATATCTACACGATGTCTCATAAAATGAATATGGTCGTTAAAAATGCATATTCTCTTAGGAAAGATGAAGAGATACCAAAATTCCTCGTGAAACTCTAATCTTCCAGAAATCTTCTTTCGCATTTTGCCTGACATGACTCGAATTTTACATTCAGCCATGGAAGACATTATAATATTCCCTACTTAACTACTGATGACGTCTTTTTCAATAGACACTTATGAATAAAAAAGAACAGATAATGGAGACCTAAAGTGCCCGAGTCAAAATTTTACCAGGTCTCCCGACGTAGTTTCAACATTTTGAACCTACATTGCTTTGATGTTCAAATTCTCCGCCAAATTTTCACCGTACTTTCAACTTATCTCAACGTGAAGGCCCATAGACATTGAAAAACACTCAATATCCACCGTCTATTAAACTTACTCTCAACGTTAATGACGTTTGTTTTCTGTTAACGTACGTTGTAAGTTTCGACGTCCCCATTTGATTGTATCAAGGTCATTATTGACGATAATTAAAAAATTCTTTACCGTGTTAAAGACTCACGTGACTAAATTATTAGTATTAATACATTAATAACATTAGTTCGAAGTTCAAACAATCGTGCGTCTGAAGGGTGAGTTGGGTCCAAGGGTCAGAAGGGTTAGTTGCGTATAAGGATCAATTGAGTATAAGGGTCAGATGAGTATAAGGGTGAGTTGAGTCCAGGGGTCAAAAGAGTACAAAGGGTCAGGCGAATCCAAGGGTCTGTTTTGTAAGGGTCAGATTATTAAAAACCTCAGTTGAGTTCAACTGTCAGTTGAATTTAAGGGCCAGTTGTGTGTAAGGGTCAGTTGAGTGTATGGGTCAGATGAGTGCGAAGGCCCTATTGGGCCTGAGAATCAGATGAGTCTAAGACGAGGATAAGGGTCAAATGAGTCTGAGGGTCAGATCGATTCTGAGGGTCAGGTGAACCAAGGTCATCTGACTCTTAGATTGAACTGACCCTTAAACTCAATTCAGCCTTTTACTCATCTGACCTTTAGATTCGCCTGACCCTTCGTACTCTTTTGACCCTTAGGCTCAACTGACTCGTAGATTCACGTGATCCTTCACACTCAACTGACCCTTAAATCAGCCTGACCCTTTGTAGTTGTTTGACCCTTAGACTCAACTGACTCTTAGATTCGTCTGATCCTTCGTACCCTTTTGACCCTCAGATTCGTGTGATTCTTCGGACTCGGCTGACCCTTATGTCCATCTGGCCCTATGATGAAGGTTTTACGTTTATTGATAAAAAAAAACCGTCTGGCCCTCATACTCATCTCATCTTTATACGCATCATCTGTACCGTTAGATTCATTTGAGCCTTAAACTCAACTGACACTTTGATCCACCAGTGAACCTTGAAACTACGTTGGGAGACCCGGTCAAATTTCGACTCGGGTGTGCGAGTAAAAATTCATGCGACATTATGGAAATAACTACTTCATGTCCCGACCTCTCGATTCTTGAAATACTGAAAACGTTTCAAAAATTGATTTCTTCCCCATGACAACACTGAAAGAAAAATCTGAAGTTCGATTTACAATTTTTTTTGTATGCGGCACATAACATTATAGTAACTTCACAAGCGTAATTTTTGCAAATCAAAATGCAGTTAAACTAACCGAAGTTCAAAAGTAACCACGACAAATCTATTATGAGTAGAACTATAAAATAGTTGCAATGACTACATTCCATTGCAGTAATTACTTCTCCGGCCATAGTTACCGTAACCCATGTAAAATTGTTGAGGACTTTTTGACTATAATTCGATGGTGATGGAATATAGTCAGAAGAATTATATTTTTCTCTCAGTGAAGCAGTCAAAAAACTGACTCCCCGTTTCACATTCGCGTATCATTATTCATTCATCCCTCTTCTCAATCCATTATTAATTTCTCAATCTCCTTTCTACCCTCAATTTCCAAGGAACGATTCCTATTAAATTTTCACTATCGAATCTCGAGAAACTGCGTTTTTAAGAAAGGAAAATTGACAGTTCTATTCTTTCGCTTCGTTATTGACAGAGAGCAGTATAGAAAATGTAGAGAGGTCTTTTCTATTCAAGCCCAAGAGGTCCCAACACTCCTTCAATAGTTTCACTCGTTTGCCTTACTCCTTCATAACCCTTTAGAGCTATCCACTCGTACACTACGTCGACGTAACAGAGGAATCTCTTATGCTCAAGGCAGCTAGTCTGCATAAAATATTTCAATTTATTCGTCGAGGGTGTACCCATAGACGCATATAATAAAGCCGCATATTCAAAGCGGCAATAAAAATAAACTCGCACTCTCTTTCCTACAGCTCGCCCCAGGAACCTTCCCCTTCTACCGCCACGTTTCACGATACCTCATACCCTCGTCTTACCGTCTGTACTCTTCTGCGTCACGTCTCCCTGTAGATTTGGCCAAGCTACTTACTCAACGGCCCAACCATTTCCTGGCCTCGGATAATCCAACTGGGAAATGGAAATTATCGTAGAAAATCAGAATAAGATACAAATTCCATGGAATATACATGAAGCAGCAACGATGAAAAATCTAAGAATAAACAATAATTGAAACAATGCGCAGCAGTCCGAAAATGAAATAAATCCGACTACGTTTTGTTCATTACAGGAGAATCCAAAAAAGGACAATTTTTCAATGTAATCGCGGTTTTAACATTATTTCCATCATTTCAGGATTCTTCATTGTAACTGAAAATAAACAAGTGGACAAAGGCATTTCTTTACAAATGAGTATAGTAATTGTTGCTAATAAAATAGGAAATTGCTTCCGAATGCCATGACTAATTCTATTTTGATGACAATTTTTTGGGTGATCGTCTTTTTTGAAATTTTTGATTCAATTTTTTGAACAAAACGTGGAAATCATGGAAATCGCGTGATTTTCAATTGGTAAATCGTGAATTTGAATCTTTGGCATTCAATGAAAACTAAAAATAAATTCTACCCTGTGGACTGCAGATTAACTTTCCAACTCAACATATTTATTAAGATTAGTTCTCAATCAGACAATATTCTAATTCATATGCCCACATAGAAAATAAGAAAGAGGTCAGTGTTCTGTGTATTTGGTATATTTTATCAAAAAACTCAACGTTTTTACTCCGCAACCAATGATTTCTCATGGTTATGTCGATATAAAATAATATGAAAAAACTATTTTGGTCTGAAGGAATTTATGAGAAAGTAACAAAATAATTCTAAAGTGATGATTAATTAAAAAAAAATTTAAAAATACTTCTCATTGAAAAGTGAATACACAGTTTATTTATTAGCAGAAGACGTTATGATTTAATTTGCATTGAATTTAATAAATCAATAAGTTTTGATGAATCAATATTTGCGTTTAACGTTTTTGAAAAAGAAGAAAAAAATTGATTTTTGAAAAATGTGCTGGGGTTTTTTTGTCAAACAAAGTTATGGATCATTGATTTCCATTTGATAACGTCGTTGGAAATCATTGGAAATCAATGTAAATCATTGGAAATCACGAATAAATCTGATGGAAATCAATCACATTAGTAATCATGGAAATCATTCTGGAAATCGCTTCGATTTGGAAATAATTCTGTCACCCAAAATCACAGACCCCTTGGACACCATCTAAAAATCGCATATTCGCACTTTTTAGACCATACTTAGTTACCCTAAACCAAAAAAATCGAAACTTGAATATGAGTGATTACAAAGCTTCCATTCGGAAGCAAAAGGCCTTTTTTATCTATAAAAATGCATATAAACTGGTGATGTAGAATCACAAATACTAATTAAATGCTCGGTATAATTTTTCCACTCCACGTGGTAATTATAAATTTCAGAACGACTGGACGGTCACATTATGCTCCATTAAAGTTTCAAATTTCAATCAAGCAGTCCCGCTTCTACTCTCAGTTATCCCAAAGCTAGATATTTCATTTACCCATTTGAAACTTCCCTTACCACGGTCAAACTCAACTCCTGAGACTTATCGAGTAAAAGCCCCAGAGCACCAACCAACGATTTAGTAAACAAGCGAGAAGGATGCCTTTGGAATTTGTACTAATTGACTCTTGGGAAAGGGTACTCTTCATTTCCATTGCTGAAATTATGTTCAATTGATGGTGAAATATCTTGCGCTATTTCCAAATAAAAGATAATTAGCAATTGACTATTTAAAACGCAGTCATTAATATCTTAGCACTTAAATATTCGGGAGATATCAACGTTCGATGATACTTTCATTAAATGTGAATAAAATCAAATACACTGAGAAAAATTTCAATTGTAATTTTAACAACAAGGGAATTGTCAAAGAAATTATATTTACAGTAACAATAAACTTTGTAGGTTAAACTAGGATTCATCGTTCAATTTACTATGTCAAATCGTGTCATCCACATTATGATGTAATTTTCACTTTAATGTAATAGTTGAATCTACAATATTTATTGTTACCGTAACTATTATTTTTTTGACAATTCCCTTGTGTTTGAAATTACCATTGAAATTTCTCTCAGTGTACTGTATTGATTTGAAGAAAAATTGAATGCCAGTGGCATCTTTGAGTGACACAGTAGTATCTGTCATAAGTTATATCAAAAGACACACGAACCTGTGTTGAGTTATATGCTCATCACCTCTCTCGCTCGCTTCCCCTCGTCGCAAACAAAGTAGGGCCGTACATATTAACTTACACTGTTAACAAATTACCCTTGAAATTTCAAATATAAAAACTTGAAATTTCTAACAACACTAAATTTACATGAAATTTATCTCCATTTTGTTACTGAAAAATCAGGTAACTTCTTTGAATATTCAATGAAATTCTAATTTTTTGGTCCACACGACAACTAAAATTATTGAAAATAATAAAAAAACAGGCCACTTGGAACAAAGATATCCTCGACTTTAATTCAAGCACCTGTTTTTTTTTAGAAATTGCTTTAAATCAAAATCGCGTGATTTTGAACGCGTTTAGGGGCGCAATGCCTTGAATTAAGTGCCGCGCCCTTGCACTGAGAAAAAAAATTACTTTTGCCAAGTAAATTTACTAACTACAAGAAAATCCACACATTTCAAATGCAAATATTTATATACATTTACTTGTGGCAAGTAAATTTACTTGGCAGAAGTAAATTTTTTTCTCAGTGTGGACGAACCTCGGCTTTTTCATTCCTCTGATTTCTTCACATCGATTTCATTGAAGTTTCGAAGAATTTCGTCTTTGAAAATTAACTGTGAATTTCAATTTGATTATTCCACTACTATTGATGAGAATCGAGAAAATTCAGGCCAATCTTTTATTGATATTTCCATTAATCCTCGATCACTCATTCAATCAGCGCAAGCTGCCCGTTTTCGTTTTTTTTATATTTTAGCGTGGTTCTCGGCGTTTAAAAATTCTGAATAAATTAGAGCTGCTAGTTCAATCCTTTTATTAAGTGTTCGCGTTGTCCGTTTTGTTCTGGGGAAATTTGTTTAACTAAAAAAAGAAAAAAAACTTCCAACGGACAGAAACACGGTGCCGCGTTGCCCGGTGCGACTCAGTCCCTGTCGACCCCTCGAGCGACAGTGTTGCTAGATTCACTGCAACACTTGAAGTGCGCGCATAGCGGTAAGCACCAAGGTGGCAACAACGCGCTCGGTTTAACCCAGCGGTGCTGTGCTAACCGTGTGGCTGACGAAGGCTGGCGGCCGACCGCGAGTGATCGAGGGTTAATTGAAAGTTAAGGATAATTTGATACTCAATAGTCACGTTTTGATGGAAAATTCAAGTTTTGCAATTCTCGTCTTCCTGCAGCAAAAAATTCTAAATTTCCCTGATATTTCCATGAAATTAAAAATTTCACAATTTTTTCTTCCTAAATCAAATTTAATGACGCTGCCCTGAAAATTACTACTGAAGTAGCCATGAAATTCAAATTTTTTTCTGACAGTGGTCAATTCTGTTATATTCAATGTTTAGGTAAGATCTCTTCAAGTTTACTGGAAGGTACATTGTAAGAGAGATAAAAACAATAACAATTAAAGTATTCAGTCGCGTGAGGAGAAACGAAAAAGTTTCAATAATCAATTTCAATACTTTTGATGATAAATAGAAAAAATTTCCTTATAACCTCCAACACTCGCGTTATACCGATCATGTCACTTTAAACTATTATTATTAAAATGAGGAAAATCTTTTGGATTAAATATCACGGTATTGGCTGACGGGTCAGAATTCCATGCCATGTCCAATATCCGTAAAACGTGATCATGAAACGTATGATGAAATAACTCACGGTTACTGCGAAGAAAGGGACACGAAGGGACCACTATAGGAAATGGAACAAAGTTGCCAAGTTGCGGTTTCATTTAATGGTATTTCTCGATTCTCGTTTCAATTCATCCCATTTCGAGGGCTCACGTATTCCCCGAATATCTTTTATCACAGGCCACGTCATGTTTCATTTTCCCCGTGCACTGTAAGACACCCACCTGTATAGTAGCAGTTCGGAGATTGATAGTACATTGATCATGAATGAAACTTTGTTACAGCATCACAACTCCAACAGTCAGAAGGTGATACTGAAGCACGTGACATTGGACTCGACGGGGGTTTACAAGTGCGAAGTGAGCGCTGAAGCCCCAAGTTTTTTATCAGTTAAAGGGAAAGGCTACATGGAAGTAATTGGTGAGTAAGAAAAAAAGCAGAGTAGCTCGTTACAATAATAACATGGAGGGGTTTGAGAATATCCGGCAGAAGGCATGTGACCGTTACCTTTTGCCTCATTAGTCTCTTTCGTTGTTTTATTTCTACCAATTCTATTAATTTAAAAAACGAAAAACCGTAATATCTTGAAAATTTTGTATGAATGGGTATAAATATTTTGAATGATCTAAATAGAATTCGTCGAGACGAGTATTTTGAAAAAAGAAAAAATTAAATCCGTTGAGTATTTTGTGGGATATTTAACAAAATACATTTACATTAGGTTTATCCCGGTATATTTCGGGTACAAGGTAAATTTCCAGTACAATTTTTAGAAGTTTTTATTGAATTTAATTATCACTGAAATTTGAAGGAATTTCGTCATTGAAAATTCAAAATTTCGTGGAAAAATCACAGAGAACTGTCGATTTCGAATCCTGGAAAAAATGGGCCATGGAAAAAATAGACCAAGGGAAATTTTTAATTTGGGTGGGTTTTAGCATGTTTTGGCTGTGTGCGCTATTTTTTCCTGGTCTATTTTTTCCGCCTACCGTCGATTTCAGTTCTATTTTTCCCTTAAAATGAACAGACAACCAGAAAATTCCGGTAAATATATTCTTGAATTGTCATGAGAGTGACATTCACTGCGATTTAAGGGGAAAAAACCCTAAAATTTCAGATTTCACTGAAAAATTGATGTAATTTAGCACTAAATATTTATATTAGATTGGAAATTGAAATAAATTAAGGAATTCTCGTCTTTATGCTACTTAAAATTCTGGAATTACTAAATTTTCAGTGAAGAATGAAATTTCATGATTTTATTTCCCCTAAATCGCATTCAGTGACACTGTCCTGAAAATTCGTAGTCAACTGTCCATGAAATTTCATTTTTTTTAACAGTGTACCAACCTTGAGTATTATAAAAGCTAAGATCATACCAAATTTCAAATCGCTATCTTCAGTTTATTCTCACGTTATCGTGTGTACAAAATTTTTCGTGAAATACGGAAAAACTGCAATATCTCCAAACTTTGCATTAAAGAGTATATATATTTTAAGTGATCTACATAGAGACTATCGAGACGAGTATTTTGAAAAAAGAAAAATTGAAATCGGCGCAGTAGTTTTTAAGATATGGAGGAAAACCGAAATTTAAACAAATTGTTATATCTCAGGAACTACTGGACCGATCGGGCTGAAACAGCGCGCCAGAGTTGAGCTCAATCATATCTATAATGACGATAAATTTCCGATTTCTGTCTATAAATTTCACCGTATTTACTTTGAAAAAAATAATAATCACCAAAAACCCAAGTTTTCACATACACACACAGACATGACCCTAAAAACATCACTTCTTCAAGTTTTATAACATTCTAGAAGCAAAAACATTCTTGCTAACATTCGGAAGCAAAAACGATGACAGATTAAAGAAACATCTGAAATAACAAGACTTATCGTTTATCGATGAGCAATTATCTTCGCGGTAGGTTCCTACGATGAATCGATAGCAATTTGTCGACGGTCTTATCGTCATGTTGAGTTTAGCTACTGCTGTTCGCATTTTTATCACACTAACGTCAGGGACAAGGGCTGTGTTATCCTTGGGGGAGTGACTCAGGGAATTGCTCTCTCCACTTTATTTCTATACTGTAACCGCGCTGAGGTCGCCTACGTGTTTATGGGGAAACGATCCACATGTAGCTATTCGCATGTAGCTATTCACATATATGCCTTCCTGTTTGCTGTGACGTATATGCGTGTACACATGGGCACGAACAAACGCGGGAACCCAAGACAAGAATATTTCGGAAAGAACGCTTCAAAAACATTCATCTATCGTGTCGTTAAAGTTTAGGGCTGGTTATAAAGACGTCGAAACGCGATAAATATTACGACGTCGTAAGTCTTGGGCCTCGTAACATCCAAACGCGTCCCGAACATTTACCAGACGTGGCTGTCACGATGGTTTCGACATACTTGCAGTACTTAGAACCCCCTATTCGTCCGAAGTTCCGAGAGATCATCGTTTAACAGATACCTCACACTTCCTCATTTTACATTCAATACGGAAAATTCTATTACATCGTAATGGAACAAAACTCGGCTATAACGAAAATTTTATGTTGATCATTTTTTCGTCCCATTCGCTTCCCCTTCAATGAAGAGTTGTTTAATGAGGACGGATATACTTTGAATCTTATAAACTTCTCTACAGCCGTGCGATTATTGCGCGAAATACCTCCAGGCTGTGACTTAATTAAGGATATGGTTTCAATAGAACGTCGCGTGAGTTAAGCACGAAGCATTTAATATGGAACGAGTGATGAAGAAATTTCACTGAGCGTGTACCCACGTTCTCGTTAGTAAATGTATTTCTTGATATTTGCAAAAAAACACTTGAGAGCGTACCTGGGGAATGCAAAATTTTTACTTTAACTCTTCAAATTTCTTTTTGCAGCATTACCTAACGGCGAACCTACGATCACTAGCGAGGAAAAAGTTTATGCCAGCGGTGACATTCTTGCTCTCAACTGCACAAGCGGTTCATCCTTTCCACCAGCACGGATCACGTGGTTCATCAATGGAATAAAAGTTGGTATCATTTTTCCTCGACTAGTTTTGTTTCATTCATTTCATGTACTATTTTCCTACAGTTCATTTCTAGTAGAGTAGTTAATTTTTTATAATGAAAAAAAAAAAACAAACATAGAAGACGAGTTGTCGTTAACAGTGATTGCTCACGAAGTTTGCCCGTGAGGATGAGGATCGTTAAATGTGAGCGTAGGTGGAACATCGAAATTGAGTTGATGAGGCAAAGCTTCAATTAACGAAGCGTGCAGCTGAAATCCATCCGCGTTTTTTTTTTCATTCAGCATTTTGTAGTCATTCTATTGGATGGCTTGTCGCTTCTTTCATATCCGTCCACTGCAAATATCATAATTTTCCTCTCCTGGTATTGAATGATTTTCATCAGTTTTGAGTGACAGAGCCAATTTGAAAATCTCAAATTCATTTCGAGTCATGTTTATTTTATTCATTCGTTGACCGTAAAAAGTATGGGGTACATTAGAATTATGAGAAAACTACCACCAGCCAGGGGTTAGTCCATATTGAGTTGTTCTTCATGGAAAGTTTTCTTTTAGTTACAAGTTATCAAAGCCTTGCCACTTCAATCTCTTGATACTGCACAGCTATTGCATGTGTACGGAGTAGTTGATGGGACAGTCGAATTTATTTTATGTTTACCTCTTCCTGAGGTGTCTAGCCCAGGTAAACTCCTTGGTACGTTTTTTTTCTCCTGAACGGCTGCTAACGACGATTGATCCGAAAAGAGCAGAATAAAAAGTCTAAGGAACGGGATTGCAATAATTAACCACAATTCACTCAAACTCACTGTATAGTTGTTAAATAAAAATGTTGATAAAATATTTCACAATACTAGAGTCTACAACAAGAACTGTTACACTCAGTAATTATTTGATAATATTAAACGGATATTTGGTTAAATATCAGAACTTAGCGTTGTGTCTCGATAGGTTCGCTTTGGAATATTCGTTGGAGCGAACTTGCTATATTGCTTAAATTCTACTGTTCATGTACAGTGTCGAGAGTGAAGGTGAAGAGAATTTTTACCTCGTAGAAAGAGGGTACAAAAATTTTCCTATTAGTGGAATAGTATATTTCGTCATCAGGCCGAAAACAACTTTTCTGGCGAATATGAATTATATGAAGTTGAAAAGTTTTTTTCGGCCGTTTGACGAACAATATTGTTTATCATAACGGCTGTAAGCTGCGCTGCCTTACGGCCGGTACGACAAAAAGATATTTGAAAACGTTAAAAGTTCGGAGCTCTGCAACGCCGGCCGAAGTACGCTGGGTCCTTCATTGAGACAAAAAAAAGGAGAGATCAGAACGGATTCTCAGGGTAATTTTATGATTTTCATTTGGCTAGCGAAAGTGCCTGCATAGTAAACTTAGAGAAGAATAATTTTTTCTACGAATGAGTTGACAACGTTTTCTGCAGGCAAATTTTCGGATTTTATGATCTCGACGTGCCTAAACAACTTGGGATTGAATATGTATCTTCCTGTTTCTTGGGGAAAAAGAAATTGCTTTGGGGAGAAACGAAGGAATTTGGAAAAATGAAAGTATTTCAACAGTTGTCTTAAATATTATTTTACATGTGCGACCGAACAACGTGAAAGTATTAAAAAAATATAAGCCATTCATACACTGAAAGCCAAGTTCCACAGAATCGTTCTATAATTACTATCGCATTGTTCTCGCTGTGCAGATGATTGCCTTAACAAGGGTAAAATGTTTGATTTCGAATTATTCTCGTGAGCCAATCAATCAAGGTTCATTTACTCGATAAAAAAAACATTAATCCAATCTACCAATTGAGGCAGTCCAGGGATAGAAAAATAACGTAATTTGTATTGATTATTTCCAGGTTAAACCAGATTCAGAGACGCTAGTACCGCACAGGGATTTAGTGTCAACAATTTCAAGTTTGAGGCTTGAGGTGGGACCGGATCACTTGACTGAAGGGCGAATTGACGTGAGGTATTTACCAGTTGTAATTCACTTAGCTCTTCGAAAACTCTGAAGATATTCAGGCAACGTCACTAAGTAGTCAAAAGCGCATCAATAGGATACTTATAGGGCAGGCAAAAATATAGTAATCTTCACTCTTCTTTCAACTAGTTGTTGAAATTCACTAAATAATTTTTTCCGCCATAGCGCATGATAAAGCTGTACTTCATTATCTAAACGTCAGCACTTGATAATGCAGAAATGAGCACCAGCGCAAAGTTATGGAAAATTTTGGAACCTGCTTTAATATGTAATCTCCTCCGCAGTTTTTCTTCCACTAATGTTTCGGAACTTCAGGTCAAAGTTATTCCATCGCAGAATTCAAATTTGAATAAGCTATTTCAACATATTTGTAGAATATTTAAGCTTGCGAATTTTTTTTTTCTCTCGTATACCCTTTCGGGTTTTTACGATTTGTTCCTTTCCCACCCCCAACCCCCTGTACCGCATTCGCCGAAGGACAAGGGAAAACCTCATTTGAGGGAAAAACCTGCCCAGGTACAGTCGTCCCTTACGAGATTCCCGCTCGACAATGAAACCGTGAGATTTTAGAGTGTCACAAATTTTGGCCCCCCAGCCGGGAATCGAATCCAGGTCTCCCGCATGCCAATCCCACAATCTATCCACACAGCCACCGCCGTCAGTATTTAAACTTGCTAATTTTTGAAAAAATTTCTGGATCTCTAACTCTACACTACAAACCATCAAAATTAACTGTAACATTGGATTATTTTTGGCAGTCCGATGCTAGCGAATTGGAGATTCCTCAACGTTCCCTGCAAAGAACACTGTTAGAAATCTCTTGAAATTTCAGGCAAAGCTTTTTCTGAATTCTCAATGTTGTGAGTTTCAGTTTAATTTCATTGAAAATGTTCATAGATTTTGTCATTCATCTTAAAATTCAAGAAAATTCGGTTTTTCATGTTAAGCGATCATTGATACTTAAATGAAAGCTTGAATATTCAAACTCATTGTGATAATTAAACCTCAAATGCAATTGAATTTTTGATCTGAAAGTCGAGATTTACTTGAATATTCGAGGAATTAACTAATTCGTCAGTGAAGAAATGTACAGGAAATTCATGTAATTTTGTCGTTGTTAAAAATTTCAAACTTTTTCACTTGTAATTTCAAGAGTAATTTTCTAACAGTGAGTCAACAGTGTCAAGTTTCGTAGAAAAATCTTTCGTACGCTGCATTCGAGAATTTTGAAACTTTCGAAACTTGAAATGTTCATTTGTTTGCAACCGATAATTTCAAAAGTCTTGGAGTATTACAATCGATAATCCCATTGTAGCTTCTAATAATGTCCCCCTAATTCTGCACACTGAAAAAAAATTACTTTTGGCAAAGAATCATTTTCTTGGGAGAAGAATTCATTTTTTTATGAGCATATTCCTCCAGGCCAGTCATTCTCAAATGATCTACGTCCATCTTCAAATATTACAATTACAATTATATTGAATTATGAGATAATTATGCAGCATATGACCTTGAATGAACACTCTTAATTATTTTTAACTGTTTCAAATTTATGATTTTCATACATAAAATAATTTAGAATGAAAAATAAATAAATCATTTGGAATAATTCTGAATGTTAAAAATTATCAATGGAGCTCACAATTCACTCACCGATTACGAAATCGACTCACAAAATTTAAGTGACGGCATCGTAATTTTTCACAGGAGATTCAGATAAAAATTGCCGAACGCTCTCGAAAAATTCCATGACAGTTCCGTAAAATTTCCTACAACCACATTTTGCTCTGGAATTACGGAAAAGATACGTAATTTTTATTAAATATTTCTCTCCGTGTGGGAATGACTGCTCTGGAGAAATACGCTTCTAATAGTATATTAGACCACAAGGGTATGAATTTCGTTTTTGTCATTCCGGCCGTAAGGCAGCATTCGCGGCCAGCGAATGCCTCCCACTCGACAAAAAAGTATTTTTTCACGAGTTACGAACAATATTTTTCATCACAATGTGGCGGAAATTGGACTTTTAGGCACGCGGAGCGTGCCGAAAAGTTCACTTTTCGTCACAGCGTGATGAAAAATATTGTTCGTCATACGGTCAAAAAAAAAACGTTTCTGACAAATATGATTGCAGCCCTCGTCTTCGGCTCGTGCTGCAAACCTCATATTCACCAGAAAAGTTTTTTTCGGCCTAATGACGAAATATACTAATTTCGACGAATGTGAAGTTTACAGGCCGAGCCGAAAGCGAGGTCTGTACTCACATTCGTTGAAAACGAAATTTATGCCCGAGTAGTCTTCGCGCAGCGTGCTTTAAACTTGACTTATCGTACGGTGTGACATAATAGTACATTAGAGTACAAGGGCACAAATTTCGTTTTCAACGAATGTGTAGTTTACAGGCCGAGCCGAAGGCGAGATCTGTACACACATTCGTTGAAAACGAAATTTATTACCGAGTACTCTATAATATTTTATGTCAAGTCGTGCAGAAGTCGAGTTCTGAGCAAGCTGCGCGAAGCGCAGCGTGCGATAAACTCGACTTATTGCACGGCGCGACATAAAAAAATTAATTCTTCCCCAAGACTATTTTCCTTGGCAAAAGTATTTTTTTCCTCAGTGGAATTCTTTTTTCCTGATCAAATAGCTATGGAGCATTGTTATGGCAACTAGAAAAATCATGGTAATAAATAAGTTTATGTCACGCCGTGCAATAAGTCGAGCTCCGCGCAGCGTGCTTCAAATTCGACTTCTGCACGGTGTGACATAAAATATTATAGATCACTCGGGCATAAACTTCATTTTCAACGAATGTGAGTACAGACCTCGCCTTCGGCTCGGCCTGTAAAATTCCCATTTGTCGAAAAGGAAATTCGTGCCCTTGTACACTAAATGTACTATTTCGCCCAGACCACATTGTCAAGAATAATCCCACACTGATAGAAGGATTTAATTGCTATTAATGAGGCTTCTTAACTATTACCACCAGTCGTTAATAGTTAAATCCTGGTTTAAAAAAAAAACAATTGAAACTTAGTTGATATTATGTCCAAACGTTAGATTTCGCGATTTAACGCGAACATCGTCGTCATATGAAAAAGGACCGTTCGATTTTTTTCTCTGTCGTCCCCCTCCTTGAGACATGCATGAACTTGAATTGCAGCTCAGTTGATATAAAAGCTAGATTTCCCGATTTAATTATCAACGGAACCATCGCCAAGATTCGTTAACTATTAACGAATTGTGGTAATAGTTAAAAAGCCTCGTTAACAGCGAGTAAATCTTGCCACCTTTTCTATCAGTGAACGAATCCCACTCGATCTTAAAAATTGATTGTAAATTTCCTTCAAGCTGCCATGCAAGAATACGAGTGTGTCAACTGTTGCAGAAAAATTAAGCCAGCAATACTTGACAATTTTGTTTGTTTAAAATGAAGATTTAGAGAAATATCCGATAATTTCGAAGGTCTTAGGGTATTACGGCAGAGTATTTACCGGCTCAACGCAAGAAACAAACTGTAGTACGTGAGAAGTAAAGATCGATTCCCGTTGAGCTGTCAGCTTGAACACACCGGACTCATCGAGTCCATGGGATACTCGAATTAATTCTTTTATTTCGGGCAATACTCTATTTAAGTAATCTTAACATAATTTCAAATTATATCAAGCATAAGTACTAACGGTTTTCATTAAGCCGTGTCAGTTGTAAATTCAAATCATTTATTATTATGTCCAGATGAAACTGATGGCGTTAGTTTTCAACTGGAGACTTAAATTTATAAGCACAATAAGTATCCTCGTCTACTGCAGATTTTACTCGACAATAACCGAGAAGTAGTAAAAAATCAAACCGAATAAAAAAAATGGATCTGATTCTAAATCATCCCGATCTTCCATTAAAAATACCCCATTGATAACAAAACAAGAATTAATCTTCCGTACGTACTCTCGTGTTTCTTCTTTTGCTCTCGCTACTCGCCATGCTCTTTCTGATCACTGAATTGGAGCGTAAGGGCTATGGATTTCCTATATACTTATCTAGTTTTTTTTATTGAGGTGTCGATATTTCCCTTACATTACTCTGTTTCCCAGACAACGGTTTCCTTCTAGCCAGAAAACTCTCAATATCATCATTATATTTAAAACCTGTGGAGATCATGTTAAAGTTTGACATTAGACGGATTTTTTGCGATAAATTTCCGAAAATTTATTTTTACTAGTGTGTTGGAATGGTTAGTAAAGCTTTTTTTCTGCAATTAAAATTTTATTAAGATATTTTCGACAAAATCAGTGTTGATAAAAATTATTGAAATTGCAATTGCCTGTTGTGGAATTTTTCCAAAACTTCGACTTGAAATGTGACTTGGAATTTTTCATAGATATTCAAGATCTTATCCGGAGAGAAAAGTTGAATCAAAATTACCTAGAAAATCGTGGCAAATTTTTCTGCATGAAAGTAATTCAAATCGTGGAGCGAAATGTAATTCAACTGATTAGTACATTATGCCAGCAGGCGATAAAAGTATTATTTGACGAATGTGACTCGCCGTCGGCTTGGATTATAATCCCATGAATCGCATAATGCTTTTATCGCCGCGTGACATACCATATTTTATATCATTGGGCCCGAAAACGCCGATCTAACCGTGCAAAGCGCGTATATTTCAAGTATATTTTATACTCAATTTAAGAATATTTTTTCTCCGTGGATATGACAGCAATCTTGTAACTTAAGGACAAAATATTTCTTGATAAACTTCCCTCTATACAAGATATTTTTGCCTTGAAAAGGCACCGCCTTCGATGAATGATCCGCCTCTTGAGCCAAATATTTCATTGTTCATCATATTTCATTCATTAAAAGTAGAGCAATTATACATGTTTGCGATTTTCAAATCCAAACCAAACAACTATTTTTTTGTTATTTTCAATTAACGTTTTTGTTGGCCCAAACAAGACTTCCCTGAGAACTTGTTCGTTTTTCTCTCAGTGTACACTGATTTACAATAAGAAAATAGTTGAGGCATTTTGGTGAACGATACGATTTTTTTTTGTATACGGCAAATAACAGTATAGTAATTTCACAAGGGCAATTTTTGCAAATCAAAATGCAGTTAAACTAACCAAAGTTCAAAAGTAACCGCGACAAATCTATCGTGAGCAGAACTATAAAATAGTTGCAATGACTACATTTCATTGTAGTAATTACTTCTCCGGCTATAGTTACCGTAACCCATGAAAAATTGTTGAGGACTTTTTGACTATAATTCGATGGTGATGGAATATAGTCAGAAGAATTATATTTTTTTCTCAGTGTAGGATGAAAAAGTCCTGAAAATCGAGTTCGCTCCACGATTACCTGACTTATTCGATAATTTTCCTCCAACTTTTTTTCTCCGTGTGTCTATCAGCGAAAACTTTGGAACTATCATTGGGGTTCCTTTTTTAATTCTGTGTCATGCTATTACAGTTGAAATTAAACTATTTATCTTTCTCTCCACTTTCTAGGTGTGAATCACTTGTGGAAACTAGTGAACGTGCCACCGAACGACTACAGGATCTGCGGAAAACTCACGTTTTTGGTCAGTAAGATTATGTTCAACCAGAATACAATATTGTGATATAAGTGAATTCATTGAGCTGTTCCTCATTAACTGCTCCGATTCTCTAATTAACGTACCGGCTGGTGAAACGGCTTGAATTCGGTTTAACCCACCGATCGTTGACTGTAAATTCAATCTACCCGACGTTTACCGCTCCCGATACGGTAATGGGATTATCAATTAACCGTACTAGGTACCAAACATAACAATTATTTATTTCTAATGATGGTACATTCGCGACTGAGGGTCCATAACGATATTCGATATTAGTGACTGATCAATGGAAATGGCTTTCCTTTTTTCCTGGTGACTCAATGAATTCACGTGACATCAATTGAATTTTCATGAGATATACTGAATAATTATGGAGAATAAAGCGATGGACTCTGGCAGGAAAAAGGATGGCATTCAGCAATGAAGGATCGAAACGGTTTACGTTGAAAAGTGTCACGTTTTTGGGAGGTCTGTGAAAATTATTCTGGCCATCTTGAAGTCGATTCAGATGAAACTATCATTTTTGGAAAAAAAATTGGCTCAAGGGAAGACTCCGGTGATTTTTAAAATTACGGGTTATTGAAGTGAGGGTCTTCATGTTTCCCCTATATTTCATATATCCCAAAATTGATGGTTGGTATGAAAAAATTTGTGGTTATTGTTCAAAAAACTGTCCACTATAGACAATTTTTGAAATAAACAACTTTTTTTCTTCCCAAATTTTTTGAAAAAGGTACCGAACAACAATTATGAGTCAGTTTTTTTGTTATTGACTTCTAAATAGCGCAATTTTTGTTGGTTTTATATAAAAAAATCGACGAAATATGTGCAAAATGCCGAATGAAAGTGTCGGATCCTTTTTTTTTTTTACGGCCTCGGAGTCCCTTTTTTGGGTCCCATTCGGCACTCTATCCAACCCTATGCATGCGGCTGTGGATTCTACACTGTACCGCATTCGCACTTCTATAGAACATAGAAGTAGCATGGGGAAACCACAGAAAACCCATGCCGGTACAGGCGGTTCCTCTATTAGCAACCTCCCGCTCGCCGGAGCCTTCCGTTGAAAAATTCGGTTCCACGGGGAATCGAACTCACAACCTTTCGCACACTAGACTTGCGTCTAATCCACTCGGCCACCGACGTCGGTGTGTCGGATCCTTTATAACGATTAAGACTCGGAATATCGACAAAGTGATTTGTAATAGTTTTTCTGCATATGTTTTGAAAATTTGTTATGTATGGAATATAGGGGAATCATATGGATATCCTTACTTCAATAACCCGTGATGTTCAAAACTCGGCGTCGAACCCTCTCAAACCCTTTCCCGGTTCGCTACTGAATTAGAATTCAAACGATTAATTGAAATGTTTGTAACTGTGTATCTTGACAATTCCCCCGAATATCGTAGACAAATCCGGCAAAAATTTTCATAAATTTTTCTTTTGGTGCTTCTGAATACTTATGTATGAAAAAGAAGATTTCTCGACTGACGAAGATTCCGCCGCTCAGTTTACGGGGCTCTGTGTGATTAAACGTTGTAGGCTACAAATTCTTTTATCTAATTTAACGTATTCCAAGAGGAAGTAGAAATTTTTGAAAAATACAAAGAAATGAAAAAGAAAGCCAAGTCAGTAATGTCGAATGAACGATCATAGGTCATAATCAGATTTCTATGAGAAAAATAGTTTTAAATCGAATAAGGATTTTAAAAAATTCTTCATGACATAAAAAATTACTAGAAGGAGAACCAACGCCCTTGGCGCGGATCAAAAGATGGCGGATTAGATTGATGCACGGAGAGAAATATTCAAGAAAAATTACGGAACATCTCACGTAATCCGCAAGTGAGAATCGTTTTCAGTGAATTTCTATAGGAATATAAGAGAATAAATCTGAAACGTCTGTCACCGAAAAAATACGAAAAAGTCACGTAATTTTTCTGGAAGTTGTAAAATCTAACAGAAACTTCAAGACTTATTATGTCTCAGAAAATGAAAATTCTTGGATGTTTAAGAATTTTTACGAAAAGTTCCGGAAAAATTATGGAACGTGTTGTTAAAATCTCCCCCTCACGGTGACTCATGGCTAGCCGTGAGGCGTCGGACGGATGAGTAATTTTTACGGAACAGATCGCAGAATTTACGTGACGATTGTCACTTTTTATTGAATTTTACTTCGCTCCCAGATTACGTTTCGAAACGTAATTTTTACGTCTTTTTCTGGTAATTTTTATTGAATATTTCTCTCCGTGTGCTAGACAATGAGTTGAAGAACTCAGCGTCAAGAACGTGGTTCTCCTTCTAGTAATTTTTTATTTCATGAAGAATTTGTTTAAATCCGTATTCGATTTAAAACTTTTTTTCTCATAGAAATCTGATTGTGCACTATGTTCGTTCATTCGACATTGCTGACGTGGCTTTCTTTTTCATTTCTTGGTATTTTTCAAAAATTTCTACTTCCCAGTAAGAACCAACCCAAACTTTTCTTGGCGCTGTTTTTTTACAAAAACATTTGTTTTTGTTTTCTTACGGAGATTTCATTATTTCTTTCAAAATAAGCAAGAAATCGTTTTTATATGCTATAATAGATAGATCATCTTTCCAATTAACAATCGAAGCAAAATAAATAATTGTACTTCACAGTCATCATTTCCACTGACTTTTAATTACTAATTCCAGATTTTTCGACTTAATTTGCTTCTTCCAGAATTTATTTATGCACGGAACTCAATTGAAAAATATCTGTGGAATTTATCGTTCATGCACCAAATTCAATTCGTAAATTCCCGGGCTCCCTCCTTGGTGTGTGTGGCTATATTGCAGTGCTACCAACTCCGTAACAAAAAAAAGGATAGGAGATAATGTGAAATACGAGAATGTGCATGTGAACCCGTTGCTATGCGCGTAATCTTTTAAATATTGATTGGAATAAAAAATAGTTACATCAATGAGAAGCTTGTGGTCGATTTATATAATGTAATTAAGATTATTTTTCATGTAGCTTGTCACATTTGTATTTTATTTAATGGAGATGAGTCGGAGGTAGTGGAGGGGGTGGTTGCTTCATGTATAGATACACGGCAGCGTTCGGCAAGTTTTGTACCGTTTGCAATTTTTAGAAATCAATCACAAAATTTCATTGATAGAAATCACTGATGATCATAGTCAGTATCCAGTAGCATCGAGAATTGGTGATAAATTCATAATAATCAGTTACATGTCCCTCACAATCAATTTTTTTTCTCTATGAATGGGAAACACGCTTACAGCAACGTTCAACGTTTTATGTTTCCATTTTCACCATGAAATTGAGAAGGAGGAGAGAAACAACTATCAATAAAATAATAAAAAAATATACGATCGAAAATTATGTTCTGAAATTTTTTTTGCGTTTTCGAGGGCTTCAAAACCGACGACAGAATTCAGCGGCTAAAACGATCTATCACGTGAAGCACTATTAAGAGGTTTCCGCCATAAATGTGGACAAAAGATGAAGTGTTAGTGAATTAAATATATCATAATAATCGAAAACGGTAAAGAAGAAATTATAACCAGTAGGAAATCGCTTTCATCACAACGTAGTCAAAATAATTGTGCTAATGAATTGGCAATTAGATTTTGAATGAAATTCCTGTCACTATATATTTTAAATTGAAATCAATAATTCATTGAATTCAACATTGCCCCAACGTTAAAGTTCCTTGTCTATCTTTCTTTGAATATTGGTTTCAAAATTAATTTTGTCAACAACAGATGACGCTCATGAACGAACTTGATCAAGATGGCATTGGGAAGAAGATTTCAAATAGCAATTGGATTCATTTAAAGAATTATTTTTTCAGTTCTAATCGAAAAACGATCGGTGACATACACACATACATACATTGGAACATGGTTTAAAGTAGCATATTCGAACTCATGACGTCAAAATTAGTGATCCTGTCATAAAAATAGGAAATTTCGTATTCAACGAATACAATGCTTCCAATCAAAAACGAAAACATTCTGGGAAGCTCTATTGTTTCATTTCTGTTCAATTAATTATTTACGTTGCGCTTTATAGACGAGCTTTATGAGCGCTAATTTGTCCCTTACTCCTCACACTGTTGACAAAGTGCTAACCAATCAAGGCAGCTATATTTATCTACAGTGAGGTGTAAAAAATATGGGCACGCAGTCTCATCGGGTTGCATCGTTGATTTGTTCAATAAATTAACGATAAAAATAGTTTGCACAATCTCTGTTATTGACCAACACAAGCCATGTTTGATGTTCGTCCCTCTAAATTAACCTCACTAATTTGAGTATTTCACTCTTAATTGAGCCGCGGAATCGCTGTCTAATTGAAAAATCTTCTTTTCTGTACGTAACTATTCGAAAGAACAAGAAAAATAGTATATCGAGGTGCACATGCGATTTTTTAACACGCCTGCAAAGAAAAATTCGTAGTTTGCTCTTTGATGAGCGGGAAGAAAGTATGAATTTTCCGTGCAGGGGTGTGAAAAAATTACTTATGACATTTGATGGAATGACCAATCTATACACAGATGATAACTATGGTGAATTGAATTTCAAATCAATAGTAAGTGCAAGTAGACGCGGTAATTATTTGGAGTAACCCGTACAATGGAAAAATGGAAAAAACCTTTCAAGGGAACGACAACAAAATCCCGTGGATTCACAAGTCCATAAAATTAGCTTGGCACTGCATCTCAGCAGACCTTATACCACCCGCCAAGAAATTAAAACAATAATTTACAATGGCGCACCCTGCGAACCTCCGTCGGTTTTGCGTTATATATACTCGTAGGGAGTCCACGAAGAGAGAGAGAGAGAGAGAGAGAGCAACGATGTATCCGTAACTTACCGTCTAATTGCGACTTAAATTAGCTCTCGGCCAACAAGTTACCGCATGAGAGTTGGCTCGCTATTACGCCGCCAACCGTAAACAATTGTCCCGTGTAAATTCCTTTCATTGTGTGAATTTTGAACTCCAACCTCATTGATTTCAGGTGCTTTGGCTTCGACTGAATTTGTTACAGTCAGTTTTCTGGCTGTGAGTTTTCTGGCGGTTGTAAATTAATACAGTTGAAATGGCATATAAACGTAGAACAACGTGTAAAAAATAGTTGATAGGTAAAAAAATAACGAAACTGGTACGTGTGAACGACGAATGGTGGCGTAAATTCAGCCGGTGGATTGAACGTTGATCAATATATATATAAAAGTTACGGCAAAATGTTGTACATTTAGTGAGGATACGGGAAAGAGGTCAGTTCGGGCTAGTTCAAACCCAAACATATCCGAGAAAACCGTGCGAACAACTCGAAGAAATTACTTCTAATAATCCTCCATTTTCTCATTGAGTAAAATCGTTCACGGGTTGTATGTGTGCGGAATTTTAGTTGAAAAACGTATTCCAACGCTCAAGTTCGTACAGTTCGCATACCACTTGTGCCAAGACTATGTGGGCACGTTTCATTTGGCCATTGCTCTGTATATAGTATATCGTAGCCACTTCTACCCCTTCTCGTTCACTTTCCCAATGTCGATAGGAGAGACAGAGAATCGAACTGTTCGGACCTGGCCTGAATCGTGAAATAATCGTTTCCGGACCGATGAGGATGAGAATTTCACGATGCGTTACATGCTGCAAAGCAGTAAACCTTTCCCACTGGCTCGATTCAATCCTCCGTCTGCTCCCTGACAATCTATGTATGATTATATCGTGAAACGGCCAATTTTCCAGTGAGCCAAGGTACACCCGCAGAATCATCACGATGATACACGAATAACAGCTCAAGACTAGGTTATTTCCGCGAACAATTTATATTAAATTCTCTGTCTCTCTCTTTCTCATGCTATGCCCCCATCTTTATCTGCCGCGAATTGCGATTGAAAAATTGAATGAAGAATAAATTCCAATCCAACTTGATTTCTCCATGAAATACTCGAAGCTTTCCGAACAGCCGAGACCCACAGTTTAGAATGCGCTATGGGTATAGATATTATTCTCGTGGTTAAGTAGAATGGGAAATAATTACTTATTCAACGAGACGAGCCAATTAGAGTTGAAATTAAAATCAACGAAGCGGAGGCCAACTTTACTTTTCGACTCTGTCTCAGTCGAGTCCTTATACTTTCTCCGGTTGTCCTGCCTCGGCCATGACTCATTTGTCGTTTCCGCTGTACCACTTCATCCATTGCTATATTACGGTTCGGTTTATCCAGAATTGACAACCTACAGAAACAATTTAACTCTTTCATATTTTTGGTTTCCATTTCAGTCCAAGGCCACGCGAGTTTATCAAGCCCGTGTCTTCCACTGTTAACAGCGGCCCTCATCATCCAGAGGATCCTCATAATGGGCTGAATTCAAGTGGATTCATTATCACCTGAGTATTTGCACCACCGGAATCATTGACACAGTGATGAATGGAGACAATCGTGAGCATAATGAACTGTGAAGGTTTGAATGAATAAAACTGAATGAATCGTTGAAATAACTCAAATTAACGAAATAGCAAAAACAAATACAGAAAAAGGTGAATCTTTAAATGATTGTTATATTGTACAGCGGAGTATGTGTGTGCTTTGTTCATTATTACGGGTTGTACGCTGATTGTTTACAACCACCTAGCCCGTACAAAACCAGTGCAGTGAGGCGTACCGCTGATTGAAATACCTATTGAATCACTGGGCGGTTGTATTTCATGACGACTCTTTTCGCATTTAGTGTTCAAAGTAATATTACGCTGATAGTCAATTTCGATTCGGTTTTTTCCGAGTGCATAGGAAGACAAATTATTTTATTACCTCAGAGGTAATCGAACGATCAGTTTAACAATAGAGGTGAGAGAACAACAAAACAGTAGATGAGTCATGTTCAATCTCGTGTTACAAGTGCTTGTCTAATTATTTCCAGACTCTCCACTCAATATCGGAACCAAAATGTTTTGCCTCCTCTATATTGACGTGGTATATCAAAACGTCAGGGTGATTTTACTGACACTTGAATCCTCCCCCACATTCTGTTACCTTCCACTAAGCTTTTGTTCCAATTATAACTTTTAATTGGTACAAGGTGATTAATAAGAAGCCCAGGAATACTTAACCGCTTAATTACGATGGACGTGCAATCACTGATAACTAGACTGTGTGGTATAGCAGAATGATGCTGATGGTTATCATCTGCTGGCTATTCAACACCAATGTTTGAGGTACAATTGAAATTTCACTGTTACGGATTTGATGTTTGTTGAGAATTCGTGTTAAAAAATCACTGAAGTTAATGGGAGTGAATTGTTTCTTGTACATATTGCGACGGCTGGTTATGTCGATATAAATTTATTAAAATCGTTGGTATGGTATGTTGGAATTGAAGGGGAAGCTAGAAATTGGGGATTTGACTGATTAACATATTTAGTACTTGTCGCTCATGAAGAGAAAAAAAATGTTCCAATGGGAGAAAAATCGAGCTAATGATGCCGCGAGAGATGACAGAAACAAGATGAGAGGCATTACGAGACGAGTTGAAATTGTGCTTCGAGATAGAAATGAGCAGACGAGACAAGACGAGAAAAAATGGTCGAGAAAACGAGAGAACCCAGACGAGACACGAGACCCTTATTTTCTTCGACTCTCATGTTTACGACGCTTATTTTTTCTGACTGTTATTTTTTACATGTGCGACGAGACGAGAAAAACATCTGCTATCGACGAGACGAGACGAGAAAATGCCATTTATCCTCTCGTCTCGTCTCGCGGCATCAAAAACCAACCTTCTCGAATAGGGAAATTGCATCACTTCCTATGATTAATTTGATCAACTTAACCACGCTTTCTGTCTCACGGGAGAGGAAAATTTTTCGATTGACGGAAACGGTACATCTATGTTTCAATGAAAGAAAAACAAAAAAATGTGATTTTTCATTGAAAGAGAACAAGCTCGTTGCGCACTGGTACGAGGTTGCTAAGTCGCCAACAAAGAAGACCAAATTTACGAAATACCGTCTATACAATTACTGGAATGGTGGCAACGCACAATGCTCACAAACTGACGAGGATCTGCGCTAAAGGGGCTAGTCCTTGACAAAGAATCTACGTTCATTGAGCTTTCGGTTACACTGACAAGAGAGATGAAAAATCCGCGGGAAAACTTAGCTGCAACGTGCCACCTCTCCTTGCGTTGATGCTTGCTATTTTTTTTTCATCTACTTTAGTTTCTATTTGTGTTACTCGTGCAGGAAAGGAAAAGTTTCCAACGTCTTTACGGTGCACTGAAATGCTCCTAGCCTCATGGTGGAAACCCATTCAACTGAGAGCTTTCTATGTGTGGTAAAGAGCAGTATAAAATCTTGGTAGCTTTGGAGTCAAAGAAATATGAGATCAAATTCAAGATTTTTCTACTCATAATGAACAACTCATTATATCAATGAAATATTTCCCTCTCGGATGAGTACCCAGAACACAGACATAAATAATCCGTGTATAATCCTGTAAATCCCATACTTTTCTCATGATGCTTAATGTATTCCCCCGAAGAACGCTGTGTATCATAAAGCCTAGGCAGAATTTACAATGTAAGTCCGTCTGTAAATTGAATGAACAGGGAAGTGTATGAATCATTAAACGTATGTAAAAAATTGTCTTCAAACAAGATGAAAGATATAGATGAGTTGGGAGGTCTCCCTTAAAACTAAACTGACAAGCACCAAGGAAGTAAAAAAAATGAGACAATTGATTTAGCGAATACTCTCGTCTCTGTTACCCTTTGAAAGGCGTTCGAAACGATATATCATGTATTTATGTGTATGGCCTAATGTACATAACTCGCGTATCTAGAGAATAAAATAAATATTTAATTAAAAACGATGAAGGTTTGATAATTCCCGCAACGAAAACTTTCGACGAATATTCCTTTGTCATCCCAGGAATATCAGTCTCACTGTACCATACCATCAGAACAGCTTATTGGCAATCAGACAGTGGGGCTTGGGATGCGATCTTGCACAGCATAATGGTTAGGGTTTAGCCAACGGCATCCGTGATGTAGAGAGGCTGTACAGAAATGCTTCCCCCATAAGCACCTGGTTCATACACTTTCAAGGGGGATCAACATTGACGTCCACGTATATCATAATATAGTCGATTGAGATCGATACTGATGGACCGTACAAGCCGCTTTTCTAATATCGAATATATGAAAATGATTACCTCGACTGTATGAACGATGTCGTTACCTCGAAAACTACTCTAATCATAAAGTAATGATGGCTTCTGGTGCAGCAGGTTGAAGTGATGGGTGTTATGTGCTACGAAGTGACATCCTTGTCTACGACTTTGACACTACGAGGTGAACTGTAAAACCCATTTACGATTCGGCAACCTCGGGAACCCGTCCAATTGTCCCACTGCACATTGGCGAAACGATGGGAGGGGGAGGGGGTGGAGAGTAGGTATGTAACCACCAACCGACAACATCTACACATGTACCGTACTCCAGATGGGCATGCCCTTAGGGCTCTAACAAGGTGGCAAAATTGATATTAGGGTGCCATAGACATGGTTCATCCATTGGAATATACTGTAAATGGTACTCTAGCAGAAGGCACTCTCATGAGGTTAGGAGTATTCATCTCAGGTGATGTTACGTCTATATGACTGTGCAACATTCTGCTCATATTGGAGGCACGTAGGTCGGCACATATTACTGCAAATCATGTAATGCCCTAATTTCCCTCAGTTAGGGAACACTGTTAATCAACAATTTTGCGTGGATTTTATTCATTAATTACCCTCGAGCTAATGGTTGTTATTCATTAATCTCATTAATGTGAGTAATTTATTTAGGCTAGTTTGTCCGTCCACGCTCACGCGGAATGGGATAATCTAATGGTTTGGGGTTTACTGCATTTCCAATGTTACAAGCAGATAGATACAGGTAATAATATCGATTTATGCATATCAAACTGGAATATGCGAAATTAATGTGTTCAATGTATTATTTGGAATTTTATGTACAATTTTATTCATTTTGAATAAAATTCTACACATTAAGAATTTGGTTTATATTTACAGAGTCGATTCTCCTCAGTTTTCCTCGCTCGAGAGGTACCCTTGAAGGGATTTCATGTTAAATCCAAATCAAAGAATTCCTCCTACTCCGCTTTTGGTTGGTAGCTGAGAAGAGGAAGGGACGTGATTAGTGGAAAGTGGAGGTTATGAGACTGAAGTAACCGCGTGTTAATCGGCCTGTTCGTGACACATATCGCAATTTGACGCGCATAATGGATAAAACACGAATAGAGAATACATGCGAAGTGGGAAAAATTATTCGAGGGGCATCGGGTCTGAAGGGGAGTATGGGGCAAATTATCGAAGCGCAACATAAAACAGTCGCTACTGCATTAATAAATAATAGAGTTGTGAGTCTTGGCGAGTCGAACGTTGCTGATGTCGAAGCGACATATACGAGGATGGGAAGAATGGAAAAAATCTAGTGTAATACTTTTTAAAAGTGTGCGGATTATGACTCGTTTATGGTGCTTAGCGCGTGCATTTTTCTAGAAAACTTTTCTTCGTTTAAGACCCAAGTGTACCTGAACAGGTTTTTCCCAGAATTGAGGTTTTCCCTCGTGCTTCAGCGAATACGGGACAGAAGGTTGGGAGCTAGAAACGGAAGCCAAATCGTAACACCCAAAAAGGTATACAAAAAACAACAAAAATTTCAAGCTATTTTTCTACCGTAATACTTACACCCGTGATCCGCAATAATTTTAAGAATCAATAAGTAGTCAGGCATAGTAACGTTGATAGCGGAAATCACAATTCGATTTCTGATTTATTTACACACACATTTGTAATGCTCTCACACAGATCAAATATTGAGCGTGTATAATTTTATACAACTGTTAGTGGAACGTTTGTATGATGGAAAAACGATTACATGAAAAATTCGGAGCAGCTAGTGACTTGACAATTGTCCCACGTGTATCGCAAATTCACTTCAACAATCATCGCTGATCATTATCAAATTGTTTGGTTGGTCCAATCACAAAACGCCGAGGGAAGGTGGGCAGTTGGATTCCACCTGCCAGAACTAAAATCATTATATTGACATGGACAATGGCGTGAAATTATTGCACCGTCCGGAGAAATACAAATAATTGAAACTGTAAGTGTCTGTATGCGAAATCGAAATACATCGTTAACCTCGATTCACGTTCCATTTTCGTTCCTATTTATTAATTTTCAACAATTTTCTATGGAATAATTCCAAGGAACAAATAATGAGAACAATTTTTTGGTGTTGTTGTATCTTTATCCGATAAATCTCAACTCTCCTGGGAGATGGAAGGGGACGCTCATGAAAGACGGTGGAATGTTTGGGTGCGTCGAAAATTATTTCGGTATTAAATCGATGATTTTTCCTGTTCTAAAATTAATCCTACACAGTTATCTCAATACGTTTTCAACTTTTCCAGAGTTTTATCCCTTCTAAATGTCCTCAATTTCAAAGTCCAAAGTTCTCAAATCAAAAACCCAAATGGTTCTTGATTTAAGAACTTTTTTGCCTCGAATTAAGTAGATTTTTGGTAGTGAATCTGCAGTTGAATAACCAGCTTCTTAATCTCAGAATTATTTCATTTTTGTTCGAAATATTCAATGCATTTTTTGGCTATTTTCCATTCTGAATTTGAATATTTTTTTGCTTTGATCGTCCAGAGAATCATAATATCATAGAATTAATTCCAGAATATGTATTAAATATAGTGATGCCGCGAGAGACGAGAGAAACTGGACGGGAGGCATTACGAGACGAGACGAGACAGTGGTTCGAGATAGAAATGAGCAGACGAGACGAGAAGAGAAAAGTTCGTTGAAAATGCCATTTCTCATCTCATCTCGTTTCAGCATTGCTTGAATTCACCATTGCTGTGTTGCGTTTCAGCACTGCGCCAATAGTAAAACCATGTAATGCTGAAGCCAAATGCGATATTCATCTGGAAGCTAATGATATCAATAATCGTGGCCGCGAAAGCCTCAGAACTAAGATGTATTAAATATCTTCCTTTGGAACCGTTTGAAATATCTTTCATTTAATAGTAAAATCATTTTATTGACCATCATTTCTCAGTATTTTCTTAATAGTAAGGCAGTCCTGAACGCTTTATTGAATACGAACTTTATATTTTGAATTGCTTATGACTCAATTTATATCCTTAACAGCAATCATTACGTCTCCCTTTATTTCATTCGACCCTCGTTAATCCCTCGCCGCACTCAGGTACTTTCACTCGAGACCCCCAGCAATTGCGGCAAGGGCCCAATTTTCCACTACACTTCGCCAATTAGGGTTTGGTCTGCCCGATCCTAAGAATCATTGATCAATCATTTGCGAATGGAATCGATATTTTCCCTCCACTAATTTTCTTAAAATTATATTGTCCTAAAATTATATTTTTGTTGATCAGTAAGCAACAGAATCTCATCGAAGAAACACCTTATCGGAGGTACACTACTCTCGTGAGTTTGTAACTTTAACTAAATTATTGTAGAATACATATCCATATCAAGTGTTATAAATGTGAATGATTATTCCACGTTTATCTCAACATCTTCCAATGTCGTCGCACCAAAAATTTCTCTCACATAGAAATCCTTCTCTCCATCATTAAACAAACAGCTTCACAAAGATTAATTCGACGTGTAGCAAAAATTGCAAATAATGTTCTGTAAAATTCAGATTTCTGGAATTAAGGATGTTTAAGCTATCAAGTCGACAGCTCAGTTGAAAAGAGGAATAAAATTGATTAAAGAAATCATTCATGTTACAACACGGAGAGAAATATTCAAGAAAAATTACGGAACACTTCACGTAATCCGCAAGCGATAATCGTTGTCAGTGAATTTCTATAGGAATATAAGAGAATAAATCTGAAACGTTCAGTAAATTTTCGGGACTGTCACCCGAAAAAGTCACGTAATTTTTCTGGAAGTTGTAAAATCTAACAGAAACTTCAAGACTTATTATGCCTCAGAACATGAAAATTCTTGGATGTTTAAGAATTTTTACGAAAAGTTCCGGAAAAATTACGCAACGTGTTGTTAAAATCTCCCCCTCGCGGTGACTCATGGCTAGCCGTGAGGCGTCGGACGGATGAGTAATTTTTACGGAACAGATCGTAGAATTTACGTGACGATTGATACTTTTTATTGAATTTTACTTCGCTCCCAGATTACGTTTCGAAACGTAATTTTTACGTCTTTTTTCTGGTAATTTTTATTGAATATTTCTCTCCGTGAAGTTATTTTTCTCATCAAATTAGAAGTGTTATGGGATATTTTCCAGCCTCAAAAACAGTAATTAGAGAAAATGTTCATAAATAATGGAGGACTTGTGACTGCGGTGATAAAAAGCGAATTTTGATCAAGCAACATCGCACGCATCGGCTAGCAGTGGGGTTGTAACAGTGAGATGAATGTTTGTGTCTGTTATATGTGTCTATATGTTTCCAGCACTGAATTATCGTCACCGATTTTACCGACCTCGATCAGCTATTGTGTGGCGTTGTCGCGTTGCTCGACTCGTAATGGCGGTCAACTTTTTTAGAGGAATTCGAAAATCAATCGAAGATATCACGTCTATATGGCCCGGTGCCCTACTTGTTCTCGCCGGCGATAGATTTTCCACAGTCTAAAGTCAATGGCTTGTCGGTTTTTTTTCAATATTTTGAGTGTCTAACCCATGCAACATCTCGATCAAAGTTCACACGGTTACGTTTCTTCCCTAAGCGTAATGGTACAAGAAGTGATTTTCAGAAATTAATTTCTCACTATGATGGCCTGATGGAAGGATTAAGATTATTACT